GGACAGTGTAGAGAGAGCTTTACTCTGTATCTAACCCCGTGCTGTCCCTGTCCTGGGAGTGTTTGATGGGGACAGTGTAGAGGGAGCTTTACTCTGTATCTAACCCTGTACTGTCCCCAGTCCTGGGAGTGATTGATGGGGACAGTGTAGAAAGAGCTTTACTCTGTATCTAACCCCGTGCTGTCCTTGTCCTGGGAGTGTTTGATGAGGACAGTGTAGAGAGAGCTATACCCTGTATCTAACCCCGTACTGTCCCCAGTCCTGGGAATGTTTGATGGGGATAGTGTAGAGGAAGCTTTATCCTGTATCTAGACTGTGCTCTGGATGCTATAGCATTGTGGCTGGGTATTGTGTACAGCAGTGATGAATGGAGAAGGATGTTATGAGATTGTTGAGTGACTGGATTTCTTTCTCTGGGTAGTGGATGACGCTGTTCTCGATAGTGTGAAGCAGTTCTTTGGATTCGACAGCAGCAAGAAAAACCTCGTCGATCCTTTTGTGGAAGTGAACTTCGCCGGGAAGATGGTGAGAATGTATGACCTGGTCTTTTGTGGCATTAGGATGGTCACCCAATGGTTATGGTCCTCACATGGTGCTCCCCAACCTCAGTAGGGCTGAACAGAGAGCCCTGCTGTGGAGCTGTTACATCTGGCACTTGTCAGGACAGAATGCAAGAATGCCAATTTTCAAAGCATCTCAACAATTAATAAGACAGGAGAAAAGGTTGCTGAATGTTGGCCAAAAGGTTTGCCATGGGGAAAGAAACCCAAACCATTGACTGTAACTATATTTTTTGCAGTAAATCAGTCTCAATGGACCTAAGTGTTTGCATTGGTAATGTAGCTAATAGCATACTCAAAATTATTCTGCAAGCGCTGCTAAATCAATATCCTTTTCTTCAGTCACATTGGCAGCTGTGATTGAACATTTTCATCCATGTTCCTGTCCTGATATTGCTGCAGCTTCAAAGTCAAGGGATGCTTCAAACTCTGTGCTGGTCAATTCTAAGTCAGTGACATAGGAATAAGGTCACCACCGAAGATGGTCTCCTGTCTTCTCTTCCGGCTCAATTTCCTGGCGGCTAACTTAATCAAAATTAAAACTCATGGTATCAAAGGTAAAGCATTGACCTGATTAGGAAATTGATTATGTAATGAAAAAAAGAGAGTAGGCATCATCGATAAATATTCTGTTGTTTATAATACATACATAAACGATTTGGATGAAAGTTTTAGTAGTCTGATCAGCAAGTTTGCAGATAACATAAAAACTGTTGAAGTTGGAAATAGTGAGGAAGGTAATCAAAAGATGTAAATCTGTTGGAAAGTTGAATGGAGAAATGGCAGATTGAGTTTAATCCAGACATGTGTGAGGTGATGCATTTTGGAAGGTCAAATGCAAGAGGAAAATACACAGCAAATTGATTGATTTTTTTGTAAATTTTACCAATGGCAGGACCCTTAGGAGCACTGATGTACAGAGGGATCTTGGGCTGCAAGCCATAGTTCCCTAAAGGTGTTAACACAAGTGGATAAGGTGGTAAAAAAGGCATTTGGCATGCTTGCCTTTATTGGTTGGGGCATAGAGTATAAAAGTTGGCAAGTCATTGTTACAATTGTATAAAATTTTAGTGAGGCCACATTTAGAGCATTGTATGCAGTTCTGGTCACTGCACTATAGGAAGAATGTGGAGGATTTGGAGAGGGTGTAAAAGAGGTTTACCAGGACGTTGCCTGGATTGGAGTGTATTAGCTACAAGGAGAGGTTGGACAAACTTGGATTGTTTTTGCCTGAGTGCCAGAAGCTGAGGGGCGACCTGACAGAAGTACACAAAATTATGAGAGGCATGAATAGGGTGGATAGTTTCTTTCACAGTGTAGAAATGCTAAATACTAAGGGGTAGGTTTAAGGTGAAGGGGGAAAATTTAAAGGAGATGTGTGAGGAAAAGTTTTTACATGGATGCCTGGAATGCACTGCAGGGGAGGTGGTAAAAGCAGTTACATTAGCAATGTTTAAGAAACATTTAGACAGACGTGAACAGGCAGGGAATAGGGGGACTGGACCATATGCAGACAAATGGAATTAGTATAGAATAACATCATGGTCAGCACAGACATGGTGGGCTGAAGGGCCTGTTCCTGTGCAGTCCTGTTCTGTGTTCTAAATGGTTGGAAGACAGCAGCTCATGGTCTCTCATGCTGGACTTCAGATATTCACAAATTTTCTGAATGACTTAAACAACGCTAAACAGGATCACGTATCAAAGTTTATCGTGACACAAATATCAGTGATATTTATTCTCCAAATCAATCTGCTCAGAGATGTTAAACTACACTTCTGGAGCAATGGGGACTTGAACCTGCGCCTCCTGTTCAGAGGCAGGGCCACTACCTCTGTGTCACACGTTCCCCAAAATTGGTGACGTGATGGGGTTAGGGTTTCTTTATAATTCTAGGGTCTATTCCACACTCTTCCTACCCAGTCCCTCAGGAGTGACAATGACTTGCTTCCAAGGTCAAACAGGTTCTGAGTTAGTGGATTATTCCAGTATTCAGTCTACAAGCTAATTGTGAAATTGTTTAATTGTGAAAACTGGGCAGCATGGACAATTTGGGCCAAAGGGCCTGTTTCTATGCTGTATATCTCTATGACTTTAAGCTCTTACACATGCAAAGATTGAAGGCTGGAGGTTCACTTCACTTTCTTTTCCTCATTCATTTCTGGAATGTGGGTCTCAATGTCCAGGCAGCATTTATTGCCCATCCCTAATTGTCCAGAGGGCAGTTAAGTGTCAACCACATTGCTGTGGATCTGGAGTCCCATGTAGGCCAGACCAGGTAAGGATGGCAGTTTCCTTCCCTAAAGGGCATTAGTGAGCCAGGTGGGATTTCCAACAATCAATAATGGTGACCCTTCCTCAGAATGTCACCAGATCCAAAATGTTAACTCTGATTTTTTCCTTCACAGATGCTGCCAGACCTGCTGACCTTTCCCAGCAACTTCTGCTTTTTGTTCCCAATTTACAGTTCTTTCAGTTTTAAACAACAATGGATAAATGGTCATCATTAGACTTCTATTGAATTGAAATTCCACCATCTGCTGTGGTGGGATTTGAGCCCCAGTCCCCAGAACAATACCTGGGTCTCTGGATTAACAGTCCAGCGATAATACCATGAGATCATTGCCTCCTCTACATGTGCCTGATGATCTCTCTCAATGTGTTCCCTAAGGATCCTTCCCCATTTCAGAAGGTCACAGACAGTCTCCCATGAGTCAATGAGGATGTCTGAAATCTTCAAAGATGGTTTGAGGATATATGTGAAGAGTTTCTGCTGTCCCTCTTGGGAGTGGTCTACCATAAGCAAACACCCTGTAAGGTAGCTGCTTCAGGAGTTTGGTGTCAGGCCTGCAAACAATGTCCACAGTCCACTCTACTTTCTACATCACCAATCTGATTTCATCCAAACAAAAGGATTGGTACAATATCATCTAAAATTGTGGGATACTGCAAACAGTGGAGGCCCATTGAAATTAAGGAACTCCTGTCCTCAGATGACTAACTGTCATGGTCAGGTACAAAAACAACCCTAAATGCGAACCTATGTCATTGAGGGCTAGAATGTAAAAAGGACAAATATTTTCTGAAGCTATACAAAGCTCAGGATGATACATACTGGTTAGCACTCATCCTTATACTCCAACTTTGAAGGCTCAGTAAAGCCAATACATTCATACAGTTCTGAACACTCAGTCTTAGGAGATATAGATTGACCTTGCAAGGGTGCAGCGCAGATTCTCCAGAATGAAGCAGGGTCAAATTATTGGCGGAGATTGCATTATGTTAATATGCACTAGAATAGCATTGGATGAGACAGGAGGTGAGTTGCTTGCTGCAGTATTCCTAGTGTCTGATCTGCTCTTGTAGCCACTGTATTTGAATAGCAAGTCCAGTGCAGGTTCTGGTCAGTGATGCCCCTCCCCCCAAGGAAATTGATGATGTGGGACTCATGCCGCTGAATGCCAAGGGCTGATGATAAGATTCTCTCTTGTAGGAGATGGTCATTGCCTGGCATTTGTGTGGCGCAAATCTTACTTCCCACTTGTCAGCCCAAGCCTGGATATTGTTCAGATCTTATTGCTTTTGAATATGGACTGCTTCAGTAGCTGAGGAGCTGCAAATCTTGCTGAACATTGTGCAATCGTCAGTGAACATCGCTAGTTCTGACCTTATGATGGAGGGAAGGTCGTTGATGAAGCAGCTGAAGATGGTTGGGCCTAGGACACTACCATGTGGACCTTTGAGGACCTTTGTGTTGCAATGTTAGTGTCCCTGCTTCTGAGCCAGGAGGCTTGGGTTCAAATCCCACCTTGGGGACCAGTGAAGGGGTAATTGTGGGGAGCACAGTAAAGGGGTAATTGGTTAAGCAGACAGGGAAGGGATATTTGGGGAGGAGACAGTGAAAGGGGTAATTATGGGAGGGTCAGTGAATGGGCTGTTTCATCGAGAAGAGAGAAGACTGAGGTGTGACCTGACAGAGGGTGTTAGGATTAACAGAGTCAAAACAGAGACAGAACTATATTAGAACATTTATAATAATCCCAGGAAGGATTTTTGGAAAAACATCTCTACTCAAAGAATGAAATGTGGTCTCTCTCTGTATCTTTCAGGTTTGCAGTAAGATCATTGAGAAAAACGCCAATCCACAATGGAACCAGAGCCTTGTATTACCGATCAGGGTGAGAAAATGACATACGCTTGACCAGGGTGTCTGTCTCCGTCTCTGTGATAAGCATTCATACAGCCCAAGCTCGATGGTGCTTCAGCTCGGAAACTGCGTGGCAATTCTCTGGCTCCACATCTGACTGGAAACCCGTGTGTTTAACTATGCACTGTTCTCTGGAGTAGTTCACAAAGCTGGACAGTGCTTTATGGGCAGGACTGTCCAGGCCTGTATGGGACAGACAGTGCACACAACCATTTCCCAGTCTCTGCTAACGCCCAGTGCTTCCAAATGTGATTCTGCTCTCTATTCCATTTTCGCCATTGCCCATTCCTATGGGAAGTTAGAGATGGCCAATAAATGCTGACATTGTGAATGATGCTCACATCCAATCAATCAACATCTTTTTAAGAAACAAGCATGTGACAATAGCCTGTTTTCACCCAGTGTGAGCTCCTTCTGTATCCCATTGTGTCCTAGTCCCTGTCCCTCTGTATTCCATTGTGTCCCAGTCTGTGTCCCTCTATATCCCATTGCGTCCCAGTGTGAGCACTCTTTATATCCCATTGTTTCCCAGTGTGTTCCTCTATATCCCATTGTTTCCCACTGTAAGTCTCTTCTGTTTTCCATTGCTTACAGTGTGTCCATCTATATCCTACTTTGTCACAGTGTGAGTCTCCTCTATGTCCCATTATTTCCCAGTGCATGCCCCTTATAATCCATTGCTTCTCAGTGTGTGAATCCCCTTGATATTCTCTTCTTCCCCCAGTACAGCCTGTGATGTGTGTCTCTCTGTGCAGATAATAAAGACAAAGGGTGATGTGTTTTCTCTCCCCAGTTTCCATCCATGTGTGAAAAGATGAGAATCCGGCTCATTGACTGGTGAGTCCCTCCCAATCTCTCCAGTTCTCAGTTTGCTGATGAATTCACAGGAAAGAATAAGTTGACCTCAGGGGGTATGGTATGAGAATAGTGGGGGGAGATTGAATGTCGTGGTAAGAGTCCAAGATATTGTAGAATCATAAGATTATGTAAGAGATGCAGGCTGAGAAACTATTCAGTCCGTCAATGCTGCTAGCTCTCTAGAAGTGCAACTACCTAGTCCCAACGCCTCGCCTCTTCCCCATAACTCTACAAATTGCTTTCTCTTCGGCTTTTTAAAACTTCTGTTGAATCTGCCTCCACCACACTCTCATGCAGTTTAGTTCACTGGCTGGGAGATAAAGGTTTTCTTAATGTCTCCATTTTGTCAATCATCTTTACTCTCTGCTCTCTGGATCTCAGTTCTTCAACCAATGGGAACAATATCTCCCTATCTGACGTCCCACGTAGATGTGAGAGTCAAGAAGACACAATGACGCCTCTTCTTTCTCAGGCGGCTCAGGAAATTTGTCATGTCCATAAGGCCCCTCACCAACTTCTACAGATGCACCATTGAAAGCAAACTGTCTGGGTGCATAACGGCCTGGTACGGCAACTGCTCTGCCCAGGACCGTAAGAAACTACAGAAGGCGGAGTGCACAGCCCAGACCATCACGGAAGTCAACCTTCCATCCAGGGACTCCATTTACACGGCTCGCTGCCGCGGAAAGGTGGCCAACATCATCAAAGACTCATCAAACCCCGGTAATGACCTCCTACAACCTCTTCCATCAGGCAGAAGATACAGAAGCCTGAACATACACATAAGCAGGCTCAGGAACAGCTTCTTCCCTGATGTTATCAGACTGTTGAATGGAGCTCTCTAATTTCAAATAATATAGATCATGCACCTCCTGTGCAGTGTAACCCTGTAAGCCTAGCTCTGTCTAAGCACCCTTAAATCTGTATGTCCTTGTTTGCGATGATCTGCGTGTACTGCTCACAAAACAAAACTTTTTACTGTACTTAGGTACATGTGACAACAATAAGTCATGTCATAGAATCCCTATGGTGTGGAAACAGGCCCTTCAGCCCCACAAGTCCACACTGACCCTCACAGCATCCCACCCAGACCCATCCCCCTATAACCCACCTAATCTACACATCCCTGAACACTGTCGGCAATTTAGCATGGCCAATCCACCCTAACCTGCACATCTTTGTACTGTGGGAGGAAACCCACACAGACACGGGGAGAATGTGCAAACTCTACACAGACAGTCACCCAAGGGTGAGATTGAACCCGGGTCCCTGGCGCTGTGAGGCAGCAATGCTAACCACTGAGCCACTGTGCCATTCTGGCCAAAGCCAAAAGGCCAAGACGTTGATAGAAAATGTCATCATGACACCATGCTTTTGAACTCTGCACCTCCATTTGTAAAGGCCAGATTCACAAATACTTTTCAATCAGTTTCTCAACCTGTTCTGCCAACTATAACAATTTTCCAGAATGATAATGTGGGAGGGGGAGTAAATGGGTGTAGAGTGTGTGATGGGGAGAGAGTGGACACGGGGCTGTGGGAGGGGGAGTA